GTATATTATTGCATTTTTGGAAACATCATCCATTTTTAAGTTGAAAACATATCATCACAAACACTCCATATTTAGGATTGACCGTTTCCGAGATATTTCGATTTTTAAACAAAAATTGACAGATGCAAAATTTAGTTCTCCCGGTTTATTTTTTTATACAAATTGGACATTTTGTAGAGAAAGACTTACTTTATCGAATTTGACATGAAAATTTTCCAGTTTTTATACAGGGTGGTCAAAATTTTTTTATCGAATATAAAGTTCAGAATACGTGGAAAACTCGGAATTTTTAAACGGAAACCCCTAATTTTTTTGCAATAATATACAGGGGGTTCCATTTAAAATAAGAAAGTTAGTATCAACTTCCGGTATAACCGGAAATACGATGACCTTGAAAATATTTTAGCTTGGTAGGTTCCACAGTTCGTATCACGCCATCACAATTTCAAAAAAATCCTTCGAGCGGTTTTCCAGGTATCCATCAATGGAGTTCGTGGTATATGTACGGTTAAAGTGTTTACTTGGTTAGTTTGTATCCTAGCCAAGTAAACACTTTAACCGTACACATATATATTTTCTAATAGCCATAATTCATTAATGATTAAAATATTGTTTTTGGGAAGAAGAAAACGCCAACATAGATATTGGGTTGGATCACTTAAATAGACAACACAACACGACCGTTTCCACTAAACAGACTTGAGTTTCAAAACACGTCGAAACCTTTTGATGTGACCGCTTTCAAGCGGGACCCGAAAAACAAAATTCCAACTGACGCAAAACACGCCAGTCTTCAAAAAGTTTGCGAAAAGTTAAGGTTTTGTTTTGTTCGACACACGTTTGTTTTGCTCTTGTTTTGTACGTTTAGTGGAAAACCGCCATTTTGAAGCGGGACCCGAAAAACAAAACTCCAACTGTCGCAAAACACGCCAGTCTTCAAAATGTTTGCGAAAAGTTACAGTTCTGTTTTATTCGACACAAGTTTGTGTTTTGTTTTTGTTTTGTTCGTTTAGTGGAAAACCGCCTTAAGACTTGTTTGTATGCTCATAATTTAGTGAAATCGAACACGTTATCTAAATTATATTATGTACATTTGAATCTATATTTAAAAATTATCTAAACTCGAATAGAAAATTGTGAAGAACTGTCCTCAATCGATTTATATCAAGGGACAAAGCGGTGACCTTTTCAACATCACTTTTTGTTTGTTCCTATTTATATGACGATTATTTACACGTAGTAACCGGCGCCCAACGGGGTACAACATAATTTTAAACAACAACAAATACAATTTGATAACGTTGGACACATTTTTTCTGCGATGCGTATGAAAAAGTTAAAAATCTTTGGTATGCCTGGTATATTATCTTCCTCTGTAGTAATGGCCGAGTCAATTGCGCCAATGAATTGCATGTTGATGTTATCAGCCTTTTGGACTGGTATCAGTTTAGCTGAAGGATGTCCTACGTCAGTACGAGGTTGTGGGTCTCTGACGTAGATTTTGCGGCGTAAATGAGATAATCTTCTGACTAATCCTGTTTCTTAATAATAACGAATAAAACTACGAATGCCTGCGACTACATCGGATAGAGTTGCGAATGGAAATAAAACCGAGAAAACCACACAAAATGTTTCTGATTTATTATAATGATAGGAATATAAAAAATAGTAAATATGGAACAAACTGCAGTGAACACAGATATGGCATCCCTCCACAAATTCATTCATTTATTTAATTTCTTTACAAGTTACAACACTGATAGGTATAACCTGGAGATAATAATAAAAAACATTGCGAGGTGCGCACAAAGAAGTACCAAAATTGTTTGGCAAAAAGTGACTATATGACTATTTCCGAACTGTTTGCGTGGCGTTTGGAACTACCCCTAAGATAATCCATTTGCGCCGTTTACAAATGTCTGTACTTCACTATAAATAGGGCAGGAAGGTTTTATATAGATCAACTTCGCATTGCTCCGAGGGCAAAACTGCCATCCAGATAAGAGTACCGAGGATAGAATTACGTTATTATTTCTGTTTAAATCAATAACACGAATGTGAGTTAATAAGACACATTTTGGTGTGGTATTCTTTGTTTTCTCGTGTTAGATAGTGATAAAAGTTGCCCCGTCATTATTCCTGGCGTGATGCCTTAAAAAAAAAGTCGTGCGACACGAAATAAACATGTTTCTTTATTCTGTATACTATAAGCTATGAACAGGCATAAAAAATTGTTACTGCTATTCACAGAACACCGTTTTAGCTTTTCCATGAAAAAATCATAGTTTGTTTTTATATTTAAATTTTTATGCATAATTTTCAACTAAAAAAAAACCTATCTGATTACTTATAACTTGTTTGGACATGTTATCGATTTTTGTTTGTCGGGAATTCTTGGTAAACTATTTTAATCTGAAGGTAAGTACAAGTTTATATACAACAAAAACAGTGCTGCAAATTCCGCAAGCATTAAAAAAATATATGGAAACTTCGTGGTATATTCCTAACGCTATAATTTAATTATTTCCTAATAAACGTAAATTTTAGGAATTTCCGAAGAAGGCGAGATAAACGTCATTAAAATTTAATAAAACTATCGACTGTTTAAACCCGTCTCCAATTACCAGTTAATTAAAAGTTAATTTATCAAAACAAAAGGTTGTTAGGCCGATTTCAACCATACCATGTTTTAAATTTGAAACTACATGCATATGAAACTTCCGGCAATGTTAAAATCAATAACTAAGTATACCTTCGTGGAACGAGCGGAATGAATGTGGCAAATAAATAATTACGCTTTGAAAATGAATCGCTCTGTGTCTAGTCAACTACGATGTTGTGTATTTTGAGTGCCAGCCGCTAAAATGACAAATAATAAAACGTTTTAGTGGAACAACTAATTATAGGAAGCAAAGGCGTAGAAATCTTAACAGATTCAACAATTGGAAAACTAATAGCAAAATCGACAAGATAAACCGACGGGTTGTTCCCCGCAATTTATATGGTGATTCCCGCATCTCCAATTTCACCGACATATATTTTTTTAGACTATGACTATGACCATGCTTATCACAATAAATTAATGATAAACTTGTACTTTGTCCGTCATTTTAATACAAACAATAAAGTCCACCGATAATTTTTCAAACAAGGACCGTCGATAGTGAAGATGATAAAATTCGGTTCATACCCGAATTTAATCGGGGAATTTATTTTTATGTGTGAATCCCAGAACTGCGAACTTAATTTTTTAAAGAAACTCGTTTTTTCTCGTTTTTTTTTCATACAAGTAAAACATAAAAACAGTTCCAAGACCCCAAAAAAGGTCAACACTCGTGTTGAAAGCAGCAGAAAATAGACCGGCAGAAAATTACGAATTACACAATTAAATGTAATCAACTTAAAAATAACGAACCTCGTAATGAACCATTGAACAAAATACAGAGTAATAAATTCTTTTAGTAATAAAACATCTCATAAAACATCATGCTTTTTTTTTATGAACTATGAAATTTCTTTTCCTTTCCCAGACGACATTTATTAGAGAAAAATCGCACTTTTTCTATGTTCTGTTACCCTTAGAATCTGTAGCACGTCATTCTGAAGATATATAGGAAGAATACCAACATTCTTTTTCCCAACATAATTTTTTCGAATTAAAAGTATTTTTCGACTATCCCTCGTTCTGAAGACGGAAACAAAACCTCGAAAAAACTGATCGAAACGTCGATTATCATCATTAACACCTCACAATTCTCATTTTTCCAGCTTGTATACCCGTGCTGAGGACCCTAATCATCGTCGACACCTTGGGGCTGGATAAACTGACGAACGCAGTGGGGCTGATACTTATGTTCCAGGGGATAGCTTGTCTGATTGGGCTGTCGATCACCGGGGTCCTAAGGGAGGTCACAGGTGATTACAAGTGGTCATTTTATTTCTCGGGGGGCACCATCATTATCGCCGCACTGTTCTTCATCCCTTTACAGAGGGTGGCCAAGTGGGAGCGCGCACGGAACGACGAAGCAAAGCAGTCCGAGAGGTGAATTAGGTTTTTTCGGTGTTTTATTGTTAGGATAAAAATAAGTTTAACTGAAGATGTACCCCAGAAATTGATTTTTTTTTAATAAAAGTTGTAACGGATTGAAATTTGGTGGTATTATTTTGCGATCCAAAACCTAAACCTTTTTAAAAAACGGGTTTTCAGAAGCCAGATAAGTGGTCTACCATTTTCAAAATACAGCGACAATTTCTACATTGCCATTTCTTCAAAGTCTAGCTTTGAACTTAACATTGAATACTTTCATTTACTTGCCACAATCCTCGTTACAACCGATTCCTTGAACTCTCGATATAAATTTCCAAGAAACTGTCAGTCGGTAGGTATCGATTCCAAGCCCTGTTATATCTATTCAAAGAAAGGATAATTGCCGTAATCAAAAGAAAATGCTCAATTTTCTTACAAGAGATGCCCACTCTTATTAATGTTAGCAAACATCGCGATGTATTCATTTTCTTTTCATTACGTAAATAAAAATAGGTACCTACGTATTAATCATAAAAATGTAGGCTGTTATAGATTTTATTTTTTGTTTAGCGCATATTACTGGTATCTATGTATAAATACCAGGTATATTTAGATCTTTTATCTGATACAAACTACATTTTATCGCAATATTTTCGATTCATTGTGTACCTACGTAAATAACAATCAACTTTTATTGAGTATAAAGTATTTCAAATCATTATTTATAAGCATGAATATAGAATATTTTTCTCTGAATGGTACTAGTACTACCTAGTAAACTAATTCTTTGTCCGATTTTTTCAGATTTAGCGTTGTTTAAAACAGTTCTCTGGATCGAATATAAACATTTATCTACTCATCTACACTGTAACCAATAACGGGTACCCGCTTATTGCTGACTTCCTGGTTTTATTAGTGGCACGTCATGGAATAATAAACTCTATAACCACAAAAAAACTAATACAATAATTACCTTCGTCGTTATTCCATCGGTGGTTGGGCCCGCTGCTCTTTTTTGTCGGTGATTGCCACTCGTCTCTTCATTTAGAACATCCTCGTCCGCATGAATTTGTACCGAGTTTCCTGATCCCAGCAGAGGATCATCATTGCCATATAAAGTTTTTATGTGTCTTTCGGTGTCCGCACTTGAATTCGTCACAAAATATTGAAAGAAAATTAACAGAAGGAATATTCTGTACATTGTTTTTTATATAATTATTATATACGCCGTTCAACAACAGTCAGCTGATGCACTTATTTACTCATCAAAACAAGTAAAACCTTCACCAACCACTGATCTCTAATCGCTGCTCTGCTTTGTTTTGTAGCCGTCTCTGCTGCTGCTGCGTCATGTTTTTCTAGAAACGCGCAAACTCCGATAAACAACGTTGTGACGTCGATGGAACCATCTAGCGTGTTCCATCCGCTCACATTAAGGCCATCATGTTAAATTCATCGTAACGTTAGTATTTTACATATGCTTAGTATTGTATTCTTTCTTTAATATTTTATTATTAATAGCTCCGATAATAATTTACTATACAATAAATATTTTAATGATTCTTATTTACATAACAATTAAGAAAAAAATAAACAACAGCTTGCATAATTGGAAGGCCTGTTGGAAAAAGCAGTATCTAGGTATGTATTTCTTGTGGTCATAGAAAAAATATTTTTGCCTTATTTTGTATTAAAATAGTACTGTAGTTTTTACGTCTGGTAACTACTCTACTCCAAATTAAAAAAAGAATACGCTCTATTTACACACTGTAATCACTGAACTCTATATATACACACCTCTTAAATTCAGTTCAGTGGAGATAACCAACAAATAGTTATTAGTATACGCAGCTTAAAATTTGAAATTTTTAATTTTTTTGCCGCTAGTACTTAAAATGTTATCACCTATTTTCTTTTTGCATCAGAGGTAAGGTTGTTCAAATTAAATCGTTATCAACATTTTGATTCACAGAACCCACAAATAATTAAATTTTAGATAATTTATTCAGTATTTCATCAAGCAGAAAACCTGCAATTACTAAACCTGGGAACTCAATAACGTAGAACAGGTTTTGATTACAAATTAAAGAAATAATATCTGTTTCAGCCAATTTATATTTTCTTACATACATATTAAAAATATTCAACCTCGTTTTCAATACCACATCACTAATTAACAATTTATAAGAAATATTTTCTAAGTCGTCTGGCTTCTTCCGCCATTTCCTCTCCCGACCTAAGAGGACTGGGGTTATCGTCTCTATCGTGCTTGGCTAATTGGAGATAAACGTCGTCGTTCCTCTGAAAATCGCCTTGTTTCCTTGGTAAAATGTGAACGTGAACGTGCTGAAATATTACGTTCCTGATGATTCCAATACGATTAGTGAAATAACTTACAAACTTTAAAAAACTTACAGGGATAGTTTGTCCTGCGAATGGTCCGTCTTGGACAGTAACGGTAGAAGAATTAGCCTTATATTCCTGTTCTACGGTTCTTTGTACCCTGACGGTTGTTTGGAATAAGTCCTCTATTTCTTCCTTCGTTAAATCCATCAACTTATTTGCCACCCTCAGTGTTGAAACCAAGACATCTGGTATTGTTAATGCAAACTATACTTTTAAGAAAGGTGTACGATAAATTTTATTTGTACACGGTTGTCTTAAATCGTCCTTCGCTGTTTTCAGAACGGATTTACTTCAAAAAATTTTATATCTTATATGAATCTTATCCGAAGCACTGTGTTTAGTTTGTGAATCTGTGTCAATGACCTCTGATATAGAGCTATTTAGGAGAACTACAAACTATCAATAAAAAAACAAATATCTGGCGTTAATTCAGCAAAACACCCTGTCTAAACTTTTTTTTAGAAAAACGGGTAATAAGGGGGTCATTTTGTAATATCTTAATAGCTTTTTAAGATATTGTCTTCATATTTTATAATTGCACAATGCAGTTGCAGTTGCTGCCCAATTTCATTCCTATTCATTTTTACCTATTGAGGGAAAAAAGGATCAATTACTTAATTCCATAAAACCAATATCGAGATATTGTACAAGTGAACGTGGATTTGTAAAATTCCGTAACATTGACTGCATTTGAAATATCACACAATTCAAACAATTTCTTTAAAACAAGCACTTTGGTTGTGTTATCAGCTTTTATAAATTTAGAATTCAGTAGGTTTATGTTAAATAAAGATATAGCAAATCTCCAAGTAAATATTTGAAAATATGTAAAGATTAAATATGTTTAAATTTACTCAAGCGATAACACAACCAACGTACTTGTATAAAAATTGTTGAAAATATTCAACATCGCTTAAACTAAACTTGTGTTGTTTGAAAAAATCAGAAAAATAGATTTTAATCGCAAAAATTATTAAAACAGATAAGGATACGACCAGGAACCACGCATCTCAGATTCGTGAAAGCATAGCTGTACCGAGATCGGCAGAAAACAGTAGAACCTGGAATGACTTTATCTGCAAAGTGGAAAGTCTCGTTATCATCAATTTGATTTGTTTCCTCTCTTAACAGATTCAAGCTGTATATGTCATTTCGACGATGTTTAAAAACGGGCATTTCTTGCCTGATTTTCACCAAAACATCCTTGTTTATCTCAGCGACAGCAACGCTCTCGTTTGCCTCTTCTCCCCCTGTGTACTTCTCGCAAGCCGCCAGAATTTTGCCCCAAGGATCAACGATCTAGAGCAATCCGTAGAAATTAAACACTTTTTTTACATATTTAATGCTGTTTTTTACCATAGATTGTCCGAATGACACCCTCTTGATGTTATGCTTGCCGTACTGAGCCGCAGCAACCACATAGCACTGATTCTCAATAGCCCTAGCTCTTAGCAGTACTTCCCAATGGGCCTCCCCTGTGACTTTCGTAAAAGCAGAGGGATATGATAATATTTCCGCGCCCATTTTGGTTTGCAATATGCTCTGCTCGGGAAATCTCAAATCGTAACACTACACAATTAAGGTTGATATTTTTTTTATATTACGAATGAAGTATTTATAATATTTGCAAAGGATACTGTTGATAGTGCTAACTTTCCTACGGGTGTATTAATGGGCAGGCAAATCTGCGATCCTCCTGTATTCAGATCAGATTCTTTCAGAAAAATATTTTTTTCAGGAATGGTGACATCGAACAGATGAATTTTGCGGTATATTGATTTAATTTCTCCACAATCGTCTATTAAAATGTGAGAATTGTAAATGGTCTAGAAAAAAAATTTGTAATTTTGCTACTGCTTGTAGTTTTTTTTTGCGTACCTCATCAAGCCTTTCATGGAAACCTCCGATTGAGAGCCACAATTTGTACTGTTTGGCAAGATTTTTATATTCTGCAAGTAACGGTCCATTTAGAGATTCCGCTAGAGACCTTGCCTCAGTAATATCTGTTGCTATGTAATCACAGGCTTCAGGTAAAAATACTACCTGTGAATGAATATAATTTCTACATATATCGAAAAATATTTCATAAAATCAAAAAATTTAGTAATGCAGTATTAAAATTATAAAAATCGAACAATCTTATTTTTTAAGAATATACGAGATACTCACCTTAGCTTCAAATTCTGATGAATTTTTTACTAATTTTTTAATTATTTCTAAATTCTTTTCTTTATTATTCGTAGCCGTCATTTGACACACTGCTACTTTTGAATATATTTTGCTGTTAGTAGACATCGTCTGAATAATAAAATACTTGTAAAACTTTGTAGACTTTAATATAAGTTGAGATAAGGGTACAAACATACTAAAATAAACAATGTAAATTATGTATTAAAAAAAAACATTTTATTATTCATCAGAAGAATCACAGAATAACCTAAGCCAACTCTGTAGTTCGTGCCTCGTGGTGTTATGATGAGATTACATGAACCATGGCAACTGAAAAAAGCCTTCAAGAATATACTACTGGAGGTAGCATCGATCTTCTAGTACTAGATACGGCATAGGCTATCTAACAGCATTGAGTTTGTTTTGATACGCAAAGTCGTGGACATGGAGCTCTGCGGGATGGGGCGGGGAACAAATATTTGACGTTAGTCCTATACACCAGTTGCGTAGTACATTAGATTGGTTCATTAGGAATTTTAATTACAATTTAGTATTAAATGCAAGAAGTCTTATCTTCGGAAATAATTGTGTCAAACTTAATTTTAAAGCAGTACATCTTGACATAATAAAGGCTGTGGTTAGCAAAATATATATTTTTTTGCAAATGATATGGGGTTATAGGAACTGTAGCAAAATCAGTTTTTGTAAAAATTGTAATTTTTTCATTTGACTTATACAATATTAATAAATCCCATAACAATTCTTGTTATGGGGGAAAATTACAGAATGACTAAATCTTCATTTGACTATTTTAATATAATTATTTACTGATGACTAATTTATTAACATCTAAGTTTACATAGTTTACTCGTATATTATGTTAAAATATGTACTGTATCTCACCCTACTTTTATTAATATGTTTTTCAAAAAGCATTATTTTTTGTAGCAGACGGTTTCTGAGACTGATGTGAGTAACTTATTAGTTTTGAAATTTGATGGTAATGTAAAGTTACAGTTTACAGTGCTCTTCCAACATCTCGCTTTTAAGCAAATTAGTGTCAAATAAAATATACCTATTAAGATAAAACTTTTATTAATTGTTAAGAACTACTATTAATAGAAAGTAATGAATAAATAACAAAATAAAGGATATAAACTACATATGTAAGTTATTGTACTTATATTATAAAAGTATTAACAAAATAAAATAAATATATTAGTACCTACATTTAGTATTAAATAATTGTAATTGCAATTAATACTGTGACAATATCAATAAAAAAATTGTTTATTGATTTTTAAATAAAATTGTTTTAGTCGGTAAGCTTCTGACTCTGTTTTGTACATTAACTTTTAACTTAAATGTCTCGGGATGCACTCTAAATCTTGAAATAATTTTTTTAAATTAGTTTTACTAATTGTAATGGGTGCACATTAAACGGATCATTTAATATCGTAAATAAATTATATTAATGTTCAATAGTATTTCAAAGGTGTGTTACACCTAAAAGAATCTACGCCCATGTATGCTTACAAACTTAACGTATGAAACGATATGGCCGATCCTCTTCTAAATTTGCTACAAATGAAGCAGGACTTTCCGGACGTATATGATAATATGGTATTAATAACTGTCACAAAATTACTTCACACACTCAAAACATTTATAATACACAACAAAATTTGTAAGTAAAACTCTAGACGAACAGATAAGTCATTAATTAGAAATATTAGAATATATTTTCTATGATGTAAACAAATAATGTCGAGCATGCCCGAATAAGCAGCCAATAAGAAGTAAAGGACCTTAAGATACCCCCCTTGAACAAAACAAATTGGGCCTATGCAGTATCTAGTACTATAAGATCGATGGGAGGTAGCCTCCCAACGGCTGGGTCTGTTGTTAGAAGACGGAGAGAGAAATAGCTCTGAAGGTCATTGCTATCTCTCTCTCATAGGTAGATAGTGTACTTTCAAGTTGTCAAATCGATGTAACTATAAGTAAGCAGTGCTGTTCAATGTTCACTGGCATTATCAAAGTTGCAAAATTAGATATTAGTTCTATGGTTACAAGCTATCGGCTATCGGCATTTATGTCAGCAAATGGTGGTTTGTAGTATATAATTATAAGAAATTGTTAATAGTTTTGCTGCGAAACTAGTTCTATGTAGTTACTATAACAAAACAATTATAATAAAGATATTTAAAGCGATGAGCAAACAGTAAGTACAACAACAATTTAAAACCGCTTCTCAAAAGTTGCAGATTCCACATTTAACAAATAGCCAAGAAACTAAAACTATGAGTAACTCAGATACTTCTGCACTAGTTGACGATACTAAAGAGGTTAAAGGTAGTGAATCTCGTGGACAAATGAATAAAATAGAGGAAAGTGATGAAGACATCCCTGGGGACTTTTTTGATGACTTTTTGAAGGAAGATTTTATGGCCGGTTTGGATATCGTCGATGATGATGAGTGGGATGAAAATAAGTTCAAAATTGATGTAGAAATTTCAGAGAAATCCAAGAATGAGAAAGCGAATGGTGAAAAACCGAAGAATGAGAATTTGAAGAGTGAGAAATCAAAGAACGATAATACTTCACTAGGAAATCGACAAACGGAAAGTGCGAAAAAAAGGAAAAAAGACAAAGGATCTAACAAGAAAACTAACGCCGATGGTGATAAATCTCCCCCTGAAGAAAGGCGAAGCAAACAGAAAAAGAAGAAATGTGAAGATAAGAAAGACGATGACTCGAAGCATAAAAAGAGTTCGGATAAACAAATAGATGCAGATGAATTCGATATTCGCAGGGACCCAGAGAAAACTAAAAGGGATATTGCACGGGACAAAGTTCGTTGTGAGAAAGACAAAGAAATGAAAATCATTTCAGAGAAGCTTAGTTTAGTGGAAACAGGTTTGGTTCCACCAGGCATGGAAATGGAGATCGATATCGAGGAAATCAAAAAGCAGAAAGAGAAAATCGAGAGTAAGTCACCACGTGATCTACGCGAACGTATTAAAGACCTGAAAGGAAGGAATAAGAGTCCTGTTCACAAGCTTAGATCACCGGTTAGAAAACGAAGCCCACTACGGAAGTCTCCAGCAGCAGCAAAGCAGCTAGCAAAGAAAATATCGCCTCTAAGAAGACGTTCACGGAGTCCAAGAAAAATTCCTCTTGCGTTGGTAAGGAGTGCCCTGAGCCCTATAAGAAGAAGCCCAAGGAGGAGCCCTTTGAGGAGATTATCCCCCAGAAGAATATCACCACTTAGACATAGATCCTCCGACAGAATATTTGGCAGAAGGAGAAGCAGAAGCCACAGCCCATTTTATAGGACTCGACGAGACAGGCGCAGAGACCGTAGCAGCAGCAGAGAGTCGGATCGTGAAAGGTGGCTGAAACGTAGGAACCGTTCAAGATCACCCAAGAGGAAGCGAGACGAGAAGAAGTCCTTCCTGCAAGAAATCGCAGAGAAACTCAATGAAATCAGACATCCTATCAGTATGATGCCCCAATTACAGCCAATGCCACCTGTACAACCTATAATGCAGCCCTTGCAACGGACGTTACATTACGTAGAAGCTCAGCCTCTACCCGCACCAGTACCTGCACCGGCCCCCGTCCCTCCTCCCAACAGTGCTCCTTTATTCCACAACCCACAACAACAGCAGCAGAAATATGACCCGTACGATCAAACTTTTTTTATCGGAGGACCCCCTGTGGGTGCGCTTAACTTTCCGCTCCAATCTCAGCTCAGTCCGTTGCCCGGCGGTTCACAAATGCCATTAAATCCCAATCCCATGAATACCTCTCTCGTGATGAATAACAGCCTCGCCCTGACCTCGAGGCAAGCTTCCACGCCTAATTCGATGAGCATCCCCTTTAGTTCAACAAACGTAGAGCAAGTGACGCAACATATGCCAGTACATAAGCTGGAGTCGCAAGAGGATAGCGCAAAAGTAATATTGGAGATTATTGTTATTGCCGTTTGTAATCACACATTTGTTTTTAGTTGTTCCAAGATAAGCAGATTAGATTGTCAGAATTTTTGGCCATCACCGCCAAGCCCGAAGGTGTGATATATTTTTACTTTTTTATTTCTAGGCCTCGCGTCAAAATTGACACGTCATTAAGAATTGGCCTCTATTTCGAGGTTGATTTTCTCTTGAACGGCTAATCTTCAGCTTATCCCTCAGTTACCTAAGGTACGAGCTTTTATTGAGGTTTCAGTTTTTCCTTCTTTGAAATATTCTCAAAGGGGTGTCAGCTAAAATAGCAATCATTTTGTTTTTCAATTCGTGCCATTGTCTCTGTTATTAATTGAGATACACAATTGAAGCATATCAGTTTATTGTAAAAATTTATGACGGTTGTAACAATAATGTTAGTGACGATATGGGTAGACAACTTAAAAACCATCAACATCGCCCGTCTTGAGGATGCTGGAAAGGTGCTCGGAGAAATAGGGAATGAAGCTGATCAAGAAAAGATTGTCCGGTTCTGAGTATGGGTTTCCATGGGAAGCTGTTATTAGAAGCAGTGATCAATTTTGTTTTTTCTTGTCATTGTTTTTTTTTATTTAGTTAATCAGTTAGCCGTTCTGGAGAAACTCAATTTTTTAATCGGGGCTTATTTTTAGTGGTGCGTTAAACTTGATGCGAATTGTATAGTTATCAAAATTTGGGTCCATTTCATGAAAAGTTAAAAGCTTGACAATTGTACCAAAAACGTAATGTAATACATTTTGAAATCGACGTTTCAAATACAGTAAATATACCGTGAGCGCCAAAAGTATGGAATATATTTATTTAAAAATCAGATGTTCGTTATTTGAAAAATCGCTCGGACCCGTCGAATTATATTTTTAGTTGCGCATTTTCCGAAGCAATTTACATTTATACAGGGTGGCCCAAAAAAAAGTTATGAAATCAAGGCTAACTTTTTTACATGGAAACCCCACTTTTTCGGTGCTAAAAATTTGCAAAATAACCTGGCTCGTAATTTAAATAGTGACATTTAACAAAATCATATTTTATAAAATAAAATTATGTGTTTTTAATTAAGTTATACCTAAATACCTCACATATTTTTTACGTTCAAGTCATTGCGTGCTAATGATCAAAATAAATCACCGAACCACTTATTTCTTATGGATTTTTCTGATTTGAAGCAACTTTCTGCGAACCACACAAATCTAAGATGGAAAAGTAAACGTGGTTTTATTTTAAACCCAGCAGGGTAAATCTCGGGGTAATTTTTGAAAATTTTCTATATTCTATATTCAGACGCCATTATCTCGAAAACGGTTAAAGATAGGTATAGGTTATGTTGCATAAAAAATGATCAGAATTCCATGGAGAATTGAATAAAAATACAAAAAAGTGGGGTTTTCATTTAAAAAAGTGGCCTTAATTTAATAATTTTTTTTTGGGCCACCCTGTATAAATGAAAATTGCTTCAGAAAATGCGCAACTAAAAATATAATTCGACTGGTCCGAGCGATTTTTCAAATAACGAACATCTGATTTTTAAATAAACATATTCTATACTGTTGCCGCTCACGGTATAATCAACACATTTTACATTGCAAACAAAATAAATTATTAATCGGGAGCAATTTTTTTATGTAATCTTCTGGACATGAAATTGACATTTGAAAACTGCTTTAGTGGGACACTGTGTATTAAAAAAGACTTCAATATGTAATTTAGTGAGGTATTAGTTTTTGTGTATTCCTTGTGCACTTAAGAAAGTGGAATGGAACGTCGGTTATCCATGAAAGAACACCTGGGGTATGTCGAATGCTTCCGTGTACCATCTGGATCGCCACTTGGGCCAGGAAATGTGAAGAAAGTTTGCTGCTTTCTGAACGGGGACTAGTAGAAGATGGTTTCAGTTTGTTGTGGGATCTTTTTCATGTCTGGAATGATTACATAACAATTTTGCCTAGTAATTGAACTTAGCTTATGCCTAAAGTATTCTATATCGAAATGTATTTTAGTAACGTACTTTTTTTACATCTACTTTTAAGTATTTTGTGTTCAAGTTTTCTAACAATTTCTTTGTTTTATGCAGTTTTTTCCTCAAGCCCGACACATTTACAGGAAAAAATAAAGGGTAAGTTAAATTCGTATTTAAATATTTCGCATCGTCATTTTTATTGTTTTAAGCTGCTCCTAGTTACTTTGTAGGTTTTTTGTGTTACTAATATAAGTTGGTATTAAAAAATCTATGATGGGAAGTAGGAGCAGAGTTGAAATCTAATTGTCCAAAACGATTGTCTGTACTTATTTCCAAATTTGTGTACAGCCACGGTTTCTATGTAGGTGTATATACATTTTCGAGAATAATAAATTTTCTCATTTAATTAACACTGTTTCTTCTTGTAAGCATTGTAAAAAGAACACTCATATAATATACTCTCAATGATGGATTCCAGTCATAACTCGGTGCCACGAAGCCATCAAGATCCTGGAAAGCAGAGAAAAGAAGTATTCCGGCAAACTGGTCGTGCACAAGACGAACAAGTACAAGGTGAACACCGGCAAGTACCTCTCTCCTCTGAAGGGTTCCCCGCCAGTACAATTCCCCTTCACCGATCCCACCATCTCCATCGAGGACCAGAAGAACGTCTTCACCAACTTCGTCAACGATTTGCTGCGGAAGTTGGGGATGCTGAACGACACCGTAGTCGACGTCGATGACGAAGAAACACCCAACGTCAAGGCCACCAAAGAAGAAGCCCCGTCTCGGTTCTCTCCTCCGCCTCCTCCTTTGATAACTCCCATAAAGAAACCCGTCTCGAAGGATATAAAAAATGTCCGATACAATAAGATCGTAGAGACCAACCGGCTTTGTAAGATGGTGCAGACGGACGTATTTAAATGCGAGAACTGCGAGAAACGTAAAAAGATCCTCTATCGCTCCACGGCGATGCAGACCAGCAATTCATCCGTCACTTTCTCGGTCAGTACTCAGGTGACCGAGGAGGATTTCCAACCCCGAATCCCCAAGACACAGTCGTTGGCCGCCCTGACTCCCGCTCAGCTGCTCGCTAAGTCGCGGGAGAGCTTGAACGCGGCTAGCAGGGGGGGCCGTATCGATATTGACAATTTCGATATTCATCCGACCGGTTTTAATAGATCTAATTTCTTCCGAGCTGCCGATAATTACGGGCCGCCTAGACCTAATCCGCTGTTTGCGAACTCTTCGTCTATGTACGACGAACTGGACTCTCTAATGTACGAAGGAGGAGGTAGAGGAAGGGATCCCTATGCTCCCAGGCCGATGGAGTCTAACCCTAGATTTAGCCATAATAATTATTATTAAGCTTAGGCGTACTTGTGTTTTAGTTTATGCGAGGGTTTATAATGATTCTGTTGTATCAAGTTGGTAATCCCGTTTATTTGCTACTTTTTTCCACTTGTATCAAATGATTGTGGTCCATCGTTATTAGTAATATAGTGTGCATTTCTTGAATAATGTGTTTTATTTATTTAGGTTGATCTTTCTACATTTCCAAAAGCCATTTTTTTTTTCTTTAAATAAATTGCAGATAATTTTTTTGGTCACGTTTTTTTCATTGTAGTGTCATTTAGCGAAGTTGTACGTAATAATCATGTCCACAAGCTTGAGCAGGCGATTGTTAAGTCTACTGGTTTAAATAAATTTATGTAATGATTGTTTTGTACCTAGACGAGAAAAGAGATCAAATTTTAAAAATAAACGAGAAAGAGTGCACCAATTTGTGTTTGTGTCAGCGTTTAGAGAAAATTTAATTCCAAGTTTAAATGGCAGTACTGGTTCTGCAGTGGTGTTTTGCAGATATACCGGAGATGTGAAAAAATGGACTTTAATTTATTTCCCGATCGTGGAAAATGTGTTCCTGTAGTGCTGTTCTATTTATAAACGATGTAATGAGAATCAGTTTGATCGAATATTATAGTGCCAGAGTTAAGGCACTCGATGAAAAATGACGATAGACTGGTCTTCAAAAATACTCGATAAGACGTTAGTTTAGGAAATAAAGCTTATAATAATTTTCAACTGATTGTTTAGTAGTTTTCTTACACCGTTTATTATTCCTGGTTTTACAATAAATTTTAATTTTTAATGTAATATTCTGAGGTCCACAATTTAAATATTTCTTGTTTGTTTCTAATAGAAAGTGTAACAATATTTGTAAATCGTTTAAAGATCGAGTGTATATTATTAATAGTAATTTATTTTATAAATCTATAAACTTGTAAGGAATCGTTCTGCATGCCTTAAATTTTTTATATTTCCAGCTGTAGCCACCTGATTAAGGTTTGGAACAACCAGCAGTTGAAAATCCAATACTTGATATAGCAAATATATTTTTTTAAGTTTTATCGTGGTTCTAATTTAAATAAGTTTTAGATATACTTAAATATAGTTAATTTTATAAGATTATGTAGTAAGGTATATATTATGTACTAAGTTTTGTTTAAATATTTATCTTATTGCAAGATTATTGTTTTATTTTCAGGACTGGAAGCAGTATTTGTTAAATGGTATAATAGATATGTGGTATAATGTAATACGTACAAAAATAAATGAAAATATTGCAAAACTTCTTCACTATTTATTGTGACCAGACATAATAAAAATTAATATTGCTTTTGGAGAATCCAAAATAAGTTAGTAAATAAATTTTGAAAGTTGAAAATGTTTTCTATACAGGATATTAATTAGAACAAGATAAATTTGTAGTTTTTCTAAATAATAAAATATGTACCTACTTATTCATGGGCGTTTGAAAAAAAAAACGAGATGCCATTGTTCCATTGCAATACAATTGGGGGCTCGTAATTGTCAGCGTTTACTTACTACTAAAGACATTAAAAAATGAAAGAATACCTATATTATTCTGAACGTTCAGTGTTCCAGCTGAACCATTCTTTTAAAATTACATAGTTATTTCGTATCGTGATTGACCAAAATCGAAATATTGAAAAATCTTTCCAAGGTTCGGCAGGTAGCGCACCTGTCGGCGGCTCCGCGAACTGTCCGCTAATAGATGTTTTTTTTTCATTGCGCACGCTCCGGCAGTTCACAAATCCTAATCGTGTTGTTAGCGGTGTCTGCAGTACCTCCTGCGCTTATTAGTTGCCATGTTGCTGGGTCTGTAGGGTGTGTTACGCCTTTTATTGCAATCCTTACCGATTATGACCGGCAAACTTGAACACTCGTCAGCGGGAAGTGCAATCGGCTGCGTTGGTGTTTGTACGATTTGAGTTCAGTGTCGATCGGGGTGTTCGTTCGTGCCGTTTAACACACGTGGATGCGGATAGCTACCATAGGAGAGGTGAATGCTCTGAATACATGTGCGCCCGAGAACAGTTCAAGTAAATTGAGTGATTTAGTTTCTAGGGGCTCTGTACAGTGTTCGTTCAGTTTAGTTCGAAAGACAACGTGGTGTACACGCACATTTGTTATTGTTTTGCCTGGTGCTTTTGACCCTTCTATATCGAAGTAGTGCCGTGCCGTCGTTTAGCCGCGCGAGATCAGTCCATTTCTCGCGACTGGGGGGAGTGAGGTTGTAGTACCCGTCGTTCTTTCACAGTGTTTTGCCGTGGTCGGTGTGTTTACTTCTTCACGTCCACGATGAGGATATCATGCCGCGTACGGGGGATGTCCAGAAGGAGCTGCGACATGTCGAATGGCAGCTGTTGAGGCGGCGGAGGATATGTTGTGTTTTGAGTGACTGCTTGTTGTCTCTCCGTCTTCGTCTAGCTCGGGGCGGAAGTGCCTGTGTCTGTGAAGGCATCAGCATCTCCGTTGGCCTTGGTAAGCGGGAGGTTAGTGGCCTTAAGCACGCGGGATTGTTTACCCAGTGACAGCATGGCGGACGGTAGGCGGCTGCTGTGAAGGCGACTGGGCTGTCGAATCGGCGGCCGCGGGTGGCTATCCGAAACAAAACCACCGGCTTATGGTGTCCCCGCACCCCATGGCGTGGCATAAGCACGACCATCTCATGCTCATGGATAAAAACAAACCTAAAAGTAAGTATCTCTCGGCAACGCCACTAGTTTACTGTCTAGTTAGGAAAGAAATTGCGGTGCTTATTGCATTGCGTTTTGCGACATGAAATGAAATCGGAAGGACGCTACTCTAGGTTTCAATGAAAGCTTCTTTATTTATTCTACCATTTCATGTCACTGTTTAAAGAACTTTATGTTCATTTTAGCCATAAGCCCTTCATAGTATAAATTATTTTTCAACAATATCATAAAACAAATTACCTACTTGAATTCGCATTACTTTGCAGTCGAATATAACTTTTGAATATTCGAAAATGAACAGCTAAAGTGGACATAAAGAACTATCCACCTTTTGACCTACAAAAATGCAAAAATTTTACTGTGTCATACAGCAATTAATATAGAGATGTTCAGTAGGTATCTTCGAGTGTATTCCAAAGGGTAGTTTATTATTAGAACCACATTCACACCCATGAACGGGTAAAAAGTCATAAAACTTGTATTGGGACCTATTTTGCACGCCATTGTTTCAGTGTGTGACTCCAGGGGAATTCTGTGGAAAAAATATGTTTCTGGGCCATGAGTCAGTTCATTTTGGTGATAAGAGAGGGTAAATAGTGTAGGCGCATGTGTTGGATAAGCCCGTAATGGTAATGCAAATTTGATTATTCCAGTAACTGGGATTTTCTTCTGACACATCTCCACATTGCATTACATCAGATTTTTAAATTATTAAATTATCGCTCATTAAGCTTCACATTTAATTAGGTATCTGAAAAACGTAATTTGCAATTGCTTCATTAAGAGATACTCGCAATGACTGATAATTAATAAATTCACGATAAATTATTACTTTGTGTTATCTTTAACTGCAACTGTTGATAAAACTGGATGTAGACATTCGTTTGAAGTTTTATTTCCAGTTAATTGATAAATCATAGGAATTCTAATAGTGGCACCCGATTGGGACTTATTTGAGATTTAAAACGCATTATTAATAGTTATTATATTCCTTAATCCTTTTGAAAGTATGTATTAAGTTTGCGAAATACCGATATCATTCTTAGAAAACACAATATGGGTTTTAGCTAACACCTAATTTAGCTATGAAAATGACTGTTCGTTACAAACAATATAGGTACCTTCTGCCCTTTCGCTGTTCCGTGTTAGTTTTTAGTGACTTCCTACAAATAACATACACAATTTTTGGAAAATACCTAATAAAATACGTTGACAAACTTTAATTCGTTCGGGCGATTCGTTGAATGATTTCTATAAGATTAAATCTCCATTTTTAAAATATCTGAAGATATAGGTATTTTTTCTCGAAGACTATTGATTTGCATACCTACCCTTATTTATATATGACCATTTTGACTTGGTCATGCAAAAAAACACCCCTTAAAGTTTGTCGACGTGCTTAATTAAGACCCTCTACGTGAATATGCGTCACAGTGATTTTTGTACCTGCCTGTATTTCTTTGCGTACGACATAAATGTGCATAGATGATTCTAGCTTGCATTAACGTTTTATTTTATCATTATCTTTGGGCCTTGAAGGGAAAGGTTATTTTAATTTCCAGGTTGTTTACTTTGAGCTCGGTATTGCGTAAACAATTTTTTTCATGTTTACCGTTCGTAAACATCTGCGCAATTATTTTATTACTTTTAACGCACAGGATTGAATCTAAATTATGTGAAATTATCTACAGCCATAGAAAATAATTTTACAAGAAATTTTGTTAATTATGTCAAATTGGAAATCGTTGGGATGCAAACGTTGTGTCACTCTGTACAATTATCTTTAAAGATAGATATGTTTCTTTGTAAAATCTTGTTTCAAGTTATGTTCAAAAACCGAAAGTGTGTTACTGTTAAGGCAATTTTTTAGAATCAGGTAGTTTTATTTAAAGAAAAGCCATACACATAGCAACAAAGTAATCAGACCGGAAATAGAGGCTGGCGTATTTCGAATTTCGCCAAACAACCCACGTTCTAACTAACTTGCCATCTTGGTCCGAATCTTAGCCTTTCTGTTTCCCAGGGACATTATCTTCTATTTGTTCGCAAACTGTAAGCAATTAATAGGGCGCTAGCAGCTGACGTCACGTCTGTGACGGGACATCAAGTGACCTAATCCTATTTTACGCATTATGGGAAATTTTCGACGTAGGTATACCGTTTATTAATATAATGTTCGCTGCGTTTCATATGCAATGTAAATATTTTAGTTAGAAATTTTGCCACATTAAAATAAAAAATTAATTAATCAGCAGCTGTCACTACCAGCAAAACTTAGTTTAAGCAAAATTAAATGTTTTTTTGCCTACCTGATTCCGAAACATCGAAGGATCCGGCATTTCTGTGCCCAGACGAAGTACAAAATTTAGAATTGCATTACCTACTCTGAATTTGCAAGTGTGTGAATAAACATGTCCACGTTAGTTGTTTTCGAGCAAACGTTTGTGTTTAAAACTTTTGTTTTCCATCAGAAAGCCGAGTAAAAAACGAATACATTTGTAAAAATGTTGGTACACTTGTGCTTGTAAACAGTACTACTTGGACGTATTGTTTTCAAATCACTCCGTGTAAAAAATGAACAATTCATCAAAACAGTAAATTTGGTTTTAAGTAGATTGTTAAATTTTAAAATTTTTAATTTAAAATATATAATAAATATAAACAAATTCAACTGGTCCCAAATAATACACTTTACATACTGCATTTAAACTGTCATTAAAAATATCGAGCCTTTTCCAATTGTATTATATAAATCACACATTAATAACATATTTAGTTAATAAGTACCATATAATGGCGCCATATTCCATTTTCGATCTAATGAGGGAACAAAGTAAAGTCTTAAAAGTACATGCATCCTTGAAATCTCGAAACAGTTGCATAAACAAGGCCGTAAGTCCGGAGTGCATTCGACACAACATTAATATGCTCCATAAAAGTAAGTTTAGTATAAAACATTTTTAGATCCTTGTAACACCGCACAAAGAAATATCTACACAATAATCGTAGGCAATAAAATTGGTTTTACGAGTTAAAGCTTACATTTGGATATATTAACAGATAATAATTGGTTTAGTTTGTATAATGATGGACATTTGAAGTCGATCGCAATCGTAGAGCGAATTTAATACCGAATAGAGTTTGAAATCGTCAGTAAACTACAATTTTTTCCATGATACAACACCCGGAAGGTCGTTAATAACATACAAAAACAAGAGCGGTCCTAAATTAGGGCCTTGCGGAACACCTGAGGAAGGGGAAAGTGTACGGGGGGTAAAATTTTGAAATCCAAAATTTAAGTCGGTTGTTTGTAATTCTCTCTAAAACGGTTTAAGGTACAAGATTCATATAACAAAATAACAATTTTGCAGTATGCTAAATTTATTTACGTTGAAATAACAGTGAAGGTCTGATAAAATTGTTATAATATAATTGCAAACAGTTTAGTTGTATTTAATTAATAAAAAATAGCATACAAGTGGTTATTTATTGGCCGTTTTTTTATAAACAAATTGTAATTTAGGTACGTAGCTTAAAGTTTCCAAATTCGAGGGGCAGACTACCGTTTACTAATTTTATTTACGTTAATTTTTGCATTACATTCAAAGTTCTTGCTAATTTTAATGCCAGTAGTTTTATTTATTTTTTACATTTGTTATTTGTTGGTATTTGAAAGTTTATGTTGAAAATAAATTATCTTGTTCTGTACGTAAATTGCTTTGATAATACGTTTTACAACGTATTCCGGCGAGATTTTTTATTTGTTCTTTGAAAGCCGTTTGTCTCGGATTTAACGTAAATTTAATATTATCCGTAACCCATGGCTTGGGACATGAAAGGTACGCGTATAATTTTCTTTAACGCGATGAACCTCTCCTCAAAAAAAAATACCCGAAAATGCCCCGTGCACCCGCCGGGGGTAATTTATAGGACGGGTGTCTGGCCGTCGCGGCCGTAGCCGTCCTCCTCCTCGGCTCCCTTTTTTTCGCAATACTTGAGATGTTCGGGGAGCCGAACGCCATGCCCGCGGCGCGGGCCTGCCGGGCGCACCGCGCAGCGATCAATATGGCCATGCCCGCCGCCACACTCTCTGCCTCCGCCGTGCATCCCGCCCCCCTCGCCGCCGCCGCCGTCCCGCCGGCGGGTGAGGTGTGGGGAGGGAGGGAGCGGCGCGAGACGGCGCGCTCGGGCCCGCGAGTCATTACTTCTGCTCGCCGGAGCGGTGTCTGCTGCCGGTCAATCGAGACGTCGTCGTTTTATGGCGGCGGACGGGATGAAATGTTACAGGTAATCCGATGACGACGACGGCGTCGTCGTCGGGCGCCCCCCCCCAGGCGCACCGAGGGTCGTGTCGTGCCTTCCGTCTATCTTGCTTTGTTGGTCCAATGGGGTCACTCAGTAGTACTTAATTTATAATTTGTTTTTATGTTTTCCGTAAAAAAATCAAGTCGATAGCTTTAACATTAACCAGGGAAAATAATTACTAATTTTTAAAATATTTGAATAGCTGCAAGCTGTTCGCAGAGCATCTATGACGTCATACCACTCGATCCGACAGCTCCTGCGCTGTTAGCTGTTGTCTCAAGTTGTGGAAGTTTTAGTTTTTTTCGCTATTTATTGGTGTTTTCCTACCTGTGAGAAAAATTATATCTTTGCGCTAAAATGATCAGTCAGGGGTTATTTTTATTAAACTATGGCGCAGTGGAAAAAGCAGACAATTCTTCAATTGAAGACTCTGGTGCAAGGACATAAGAAAATCATCTATATCTCATTAAAACAATAACCTGTATGTCCCTTTCACATATAACGAGTCTAGGTCCTTTTGCTCTTTGATTCTGGAAAGTATTGGGCAAAATTTTTGTTTTTGGCACAGTTCTTGTTTATAGAAGACACAGATAAGATTTTCCAAGAGAATCGATAATTATCATATAACCGTAAGTATGTGGGCAGAAGAAAGACCACGTGCCTCATCTGAAAATCATCAACAGTTTTCTCTGAAT